CAGGAATAGACAACCTCATCTTTCTCCTGTAGAGCAGTTGGTGGGATTGAACTGCTGACCTTGTGATTAGCAGCTCAACCCAAAGCCCACTATGCCACCAGAGCTCCTGGCACTCAAATAATGTCCTGTTGCTATTTCCCAGGGTGGTTCAAACAATTAAGCGCTCCACTACTACCTGAAAGACTGGTGGTTCAAAGCCAGGCGGATTGTCATCTAAAGGTGCTTCTGGCAGACAGGCTGGTGACCTTCTTCCCAAGGGTCGCAGGCGTGAAGGCCCCGTGGAGCAGATCTCCTCTGTACCCGTGGGGTTGCCGTGAGGTAGCATCCACTTGATGGCAATGAACAAACAAATCAGTGTTTTCCTTATGGAAAACGAAGTTCCTCATAAGCAGGGGCCAACGCAATGTACCACTGTATTCCTCTCCCAGTGCTTGGAATATTAACTCACACTAGGGGAGGGGTCCAAATAAACATTGCTGATTGAACTACTTCAATTCCCAAACATGATTTGGTATAGTTTCATCTGCAACACGAATCAGCCCAAACATCCCACTTTGGGGTACAAATAGCTAATGTTGCCTGGTTTCACCCATCAAAGGAGTGCCAAGTGGCTCCTAGGTTCCCCCACGGCTCTGAGCCAGCCCTCTTGGAAGCTTCCATCATCTGCAGGAGGCTGTCTGACGCTCCTATAATCAAGGTTGACCAGAAGCAAAAGGATGGGCCACTGTCCCTAGCAGCTGGATGTCTGGGTCATAGGTCCAGACACTTATTTGGCCTACCACCACCAATTTGGTAGGGGGCAATCACTCAGTACCTCTTTGACAATTAAAATCTTTTGTAGTATATAGTCCAAAATCCAGGATAAAATGTAGTCCCCCATACCCCCACCCCTGGATCATTCTAACACCACGCCCAGGGGGTGGTATCACCCACCCTGGGAAGTACTGGTCTAGAACATCACTGGGGGGAGGTAGGAAGCTATAATATAAAAAGCATCCTGCAGCCTGGGTGCTACATACTGCCCCTGAAGTCTGGGGAAGGGGTGCTAAAGATGAGGCCCTGTATCCTTTCTGCTGAGAAGCCTGCCAAGGTGCAGGTAGGTAACGATGGGGGGCGGGGATGTGGTTGTACTTAAAAAGCAGATGCACAGAAAGAGGGAGGTCATGTTTCCCTACTGCTGTTTGGGTCAATTCTTCCATTTCCTCTGGGCTTGATGCTGACAGACATAAGGAAGCCCAAGCAAAGAAGGCCCTAAGTGTGGTCCGGTTACCAAAAACTGAGCCAAACTCTAGCTCCCATTGATGGAAGTACAGACTGTCAGTGCCTCTCAGAGAAGTAACTTTAAATGTACCTGTACGTGCACAGGAATGCTGGTGGCGTAGTGGTGATACATTGGGCTGCTAACAGCAAGGTCAGCAGTGTGAAACCTCTCAAGAAGACAACCTTCCTGCTCCGGCAAAGAGTTACAGCCTGAGAAACTTACAGGGGCAGTTCTGAGTCAGCATCAACTCAGTGAGTTGAGTGTTTGGTTTGGTGCACACGTCTTCTGTACTTCCCTGTGGGAAACACTATGACTCTACTTTTAAAAACTGGCAGCAAAGGTACCTGCCATTTGACTCAGGTACTCAAGTAGGGGAACAGTAAAATGCTGTTATAAAACCTATCTAAATTCTGCCCTCTAGCCAGACTGGGAAATGTGCAGACAGTCCCTTAGTTGGTGCATACTAAATCAGAGCTTAGAACCCATTCATTCCAGCCCAACCCCTTGCTGAGAATTTGGCTTTTCAGGTGATTTTGATGTACACATAAGGATCACTGGGGAAGGGGGAGGATCTTGTTAAAAATGTAGCTCCTGAAGGGGTGAGTTAAGCAGGGCGCAGTAAAGCACTGATGAAACACACAGTATTCCCCTGGTTCCTTGAGGCTTCCTCACCCCCAACTCTCATGACCCCAGTGCTGCCTCCCACTTCAGACTAGACCGGAGCATGTACACAGGTACCGGTAAGAGCTAAGAGCTCCTGACACACCCAGTCCAGGAACAGGAATGGGAACAGGGATACCAGAAGGGTAGGGAGAAGGGGCAGGAGGAGGGTGGGGGGAACCGATCATAATGATCGCCATATAACCACACACACCCCTTCAGGGGGAAGAACAACAGAAACCTTGGGGAAAGGGATACAGCAGTTGGTGTGAAATATGAAAATAATAATAATTTATAATCAATCAAGGGGTCATAACGGTAGGGAGGGAGGAAGGGGAGAGAAAGAGGAGCTGATACCAAGGGCTCAATAGAAAGTAAACATCTAGAAAAGAATGATGGCAACATGTATAAATATGCCTGATTCAACTGATGTAAGGATTGCAATGAGTTGTAAGATGATCTTAAAAAAATAATAAAATAAAATCAGACATATTCAACACACACATGTAGCTCCTGATTCAGTATATCTGGGATGGAATGGCAAATTCTCAACAAGGGTCACACCGGAATGAATTGGTTCTAAGCCCTGATCTAAATCGAGCTCTGGCTACTTCTGTGGCATCGATCGTTTGTTTTCTCCCTATCTGTAAGTTTGTATCACTTCAGCCCTTCTGATAGTGTCTCAAATTAGAGCTAGTGTAACACAGAAGCAAGCCTGTGGTCTGGAAGTCCCTCCTATACAATGTTGCAGTTTCTGCTCGTGATTATGTAACAGCCAGGACACTTGTCATAATCTCCTTAGCCTGAGGACTCCTTAAAGGCCAGGGTCCAGATCTCCAAATGTCTGCACGTCTCCAGCGCTCTCACCAAGAGGACTTGGTGAAACATCTCATCCTCTCTCTCTAGTTCCCAAATCTCTACTTTCTGAAAAACAACAAGTGGAGAAGGCAGACAGTTTGACAAGCAATTATATATATATATAATTTAGCGTGGGCTCCTCCCCAAGACAGGTAGAAAGTAGCTGTCTTACAGATGGCTGATAGGAGGGGTCACTCGCCACTCCTTCCTAGCTAAGAAGTCCTGAGGAGGCCAGGGAGAAGGGGAGTTTGAGATGTCAGAAACATCCGAAGCACTCCCATGTGCTCAGCAACACGGGGACTCTGGAATAGGAAAGGGCAGGCCGGCCGGCCGTAGCTCGGCTTCCACAGAGGGCAAACTCCGACCAAAGCAAGAAAAGGCCAGACTTCTCCCAGCTGCCGGCGGCGGAAAGATGCAACAAGAGTGATCTTGCCAAGCAAACATCCCAGTCCCCATCCAGCTAACAGGGATTTAAACATTCCGCAAAGACTGCATCCAGAACTTTCAAAGTACACAGCAGAATGGGCTAGCAGAGAAAGCAGATGGGCTACCAGGCTCAGTGAGACCCCCAGGCCCACTATAGCAAGTCCTTTCACCTCTCTCTGCCCAAGTGCTCTCAGCAACTGAATGAGATCACCTTAAGCTTAACAAACACTTTATCTACTGTCCAGAGGTTGGTTGGTCGCATTTTTTTTCTTTTTGAGGATTTCATAAGGCCATGTGACCCATTTAGTGACCTGTATAACACTCTCTCCTGCTATCATTAATACGATTTCTTCCACCCATGGGTATTGGTCCGTAGTGCTCTCAGACAAGTTTTGCAGACCCCTCAGAAGGAGAACCCTCCCTCCCCCTCCCCGCCTGCTCAGCCACAGCAATAAAGGATTCAGGACCAGAGCTGGGACCAGAACCAACTGTCTGCCCATCCCATCACACCACCTTCTCTGAAGTCAGTTCTGGCTCCTGATCACACGCCCAGCACACACTTCCCAGACAGCATACCACCTTCCCTCCCCCTTTATTGACTAGATCCACCCAGGTTTAAAAAAAAAAACACAATTTTTTTTAAAGTTCGAGCTCCTACCATATGTGGCCATTTATTTCCAGAGGAGGCCTGCCCTGGGCCCCTGCGGACAGATGTTGCTTTGTGCCTGCCTGAAACGACTGGCAGCCCTGCACAGCTGCCCCAAGCAGGTGGCCAAGGATGGAATCCAGCCCTGGCCCAGGAGCAAGGCAGGCAATCCCTCTGGGGCTCAGGTCCTGAGGACTACAGTTCCTTCCTCTGTAGCCAGGGACGATTCCAACCCCCCACCCTGATTCCCAGCCTGGGGCAGCTGAGCAAAATGAAAGCCCTGGGAAATGGCCAGAAGTCACCCACCCTCCTATCAGCCATCTGGGAGCTCCTGCCCACCACAGCTAGTGCGCTCTGGAGGATAAAGGCGTGCCGCCCGCACAGATGGCGAAGGGCTTGGGAAAGAGGGCCCTGCAGGAATGTGAGGGCCTATAAGAGGCCCACTTCGGCGTGAGTTTTGTTATCTGTTCTGCATCAACCTGCAAGCTCAGACTACAAAGGTGAGCAAACCGGGGTGGGGGTGGGGGGTGTCGAGGGGGGCAGGAAGACCCTGGAGGGCCACTTGTCTGTTCCATATGAAAGTCAGAACGGTGCACGGCAACTAAATGCGTGCGTGCATGCGTGCATACGGAGGGGGCGGGAGACTGGCACCGCCGAGTCTAAAAATACTCGATAAAAATGCTAATCCCGAAGGCAAATCGAGAGAAGAAGGAATCTGTCAATCACGAGCTCCAGCTCCGCACCCACGGCCCCAGCTGTACTGACTGCATTCCTGCCGCCGAGGGAGGCAGGCGAGGGACGGGGCTGGAGAGAAGAAAGGGAGACGCGCCGCCACCTCCGCGAGCGCGGGCCGCGGGGGCGGGAGGCGGCGGCAGAGGAGGGGCTCGCGCCGCGGAGCCGAACAAAGCGGGCCTCAACTTCCAGCCCGCGGCTCCCCGGGGTGGGGGCGGCCGATCCCAGCGGCGCCCCCTTTCCGGGCGGAGAGCGAGTGCGGAGGCTGGAGGCGAGAATGCGCAGCGAGAGTTTTTGTTTGGGGTCCCGGTACCCCCTTCCTGCCCGCACCTTAGCCCCCTCCCCTTACACACACACACACACACACGCACACGCCCCCTCTCCCTCCCACCTAGCGCGCCGGGGGCCGGCCCCCACCTGGGGATGGTGATGCACTTGGTGCTGACGTTCTGCGTGGTGATGGCCTTCTCCAGCTCGTCCAGCTGCCCCGTCTTCTTGAGCTTCTTGACCAGGCTCTTGACCGCCTTCTCGCACCACTTCTCCTCCTGCCCGTTCTGCTCGCCCTTCTTCCAGCCCAGCAGGCGCTTCACGATCGGGGGCGTGAAGGGCAGGA